GGAGGGAGGGAACAGTAGCTTTATTCTCATTTTCTTTGTTCTTGGGATATAACAGTTACTGCTATTTAAATTCATTTTGACAAATAGTTAGAAAGTACCTATCATTGTGGCCAGCTCTGTGTTCACCAGAGACTTAAGAGCATGTAGACTGTTCCAACAGCAACCAGAATGCTTCAAAGCATGCAGAACCAGAATATTTTCCTGGGTGCATGTGCATCCCAGAAAATATACACAGAGTAGCGCTAGATAAAGGTTTTTTTTCATTTTTGCCTCTTTAATTTTAAGAAATAGATTCGTGAGACTGGAGAGATGATGCTTCAAAGTAAAGAGCATGAACTGCTCTTACAGACAACCTGAGTTTAGTTCCTGACACCCATACTGGGCAGCTCACCATTTCCTGTAACTCTAACTACAAGGGATCTGATGCCCTTTTCAGGCCTCCATGAGCACTGCACCCAAGAGTGCAAGTCCACACATGGATACACACACACATACACATAATTCAACAGAATCCTTGTTTGTTTGAGACAGGGTCTCCCTATAGCCCAGCTGGCCTGGAACTCCTTATATAGACCAGGCTGTCCTCAATCTCATAATCACCTGCCTCTGCCTTCTGAAATTAAGAGAGTGCACCACAATGCATGGCTATAATTTAAAATAAAAATAAAATCTTTTTAAAAAACAGATTCATGGGCCAGTGAGATGACTCAACAGGTAAAGACACTTGCCACCAAGCCTCCTAAGTTCAGTCCCCAGAACCCATGTGGTAGAAGGAGAGATTCAACTCCCGTAAGTTGTCCTCTGACTTCCATACACATGCTTTAGCACCTATGTATGTACACACAGGCAACACATAAAATAAAAATAAATAAATAAATAAATAAATATATTTTAAAAATGTAAAATTAAACAGTTTTAAAGATTTGTGTTCACTTCATCTGTATTTAAAATCTTACCACATTTTCCATACACTAAGAAACACTAAAAGCTGTCAGCAGCATCCCTCTTTCCTGTTATGCAGACATGGCATAGTGCGGCGTTTGCTCTTTTTTTAAGTTGATATTGGTGAGATAAGGCTCCACTATGTCCTGAGGAAGGGCAGCAATGCAACGAAGGACATCTACCTCTCTGTTGAAGACAATGCTAAATCGAGTAAGACCTTAGAAGTGACCCATAGTGAGTCAGCATCAATACAAACCTGAAAAGTACAAATCATTTACATTGACATCGTAATCAGTAATGTCGTATATGATGCCAATAAACGAATTCTTTCTGTCTTAGTTTGTTCCTTGCTTCGTGCTTCTTAACAAACCAATTTATTTTTATCCAGTAAACTTTTGTTACTCAATCTTCTGAAGTAAATGTTGGCATTTATCATAAAAGGAGGATGACGGAGTGCCAAACCAGTTTGGGGGAAGAGAAGACAACGAAGAATTTGATGCATGGGGCAGGAACTGACTGATTACCTGACATGGATTATGAGGCTATCTTAATGGAAATTGAATTCTAACTTTAGGAGAGTCTGAGAATCAAGCTAATGATTTCTATTATTCTGAAACTACGTAGAAAATGTTCCTTTAGATGTTATTAGTATTTTCAGCTGCAGAGCTGAGTTCTGTGTCTTCCTAACCTTGAAATTTAATCTTCTTTGTGGGATGATGTGGCTCGCTGGCAGAATGCACGCTCTGTGTGTGTAAGAGAGCCCTCTCCCCCATCTCACTCCAAAAATTTAATTTTCTTAAATTTTCTTGCATAGGCTGAGACATGTAATTACTAGAATGTTAATCTTCTTGAATGAGCTGTAAAATGTAAATTTACTGACATAGAGGAACCTTTATTAAAAAGCTACTTGTTTCTGCTGTACCTGTATCTGTCCATTGGATCTTCAAAGTCACAAAACAGGCTGCAATCAGTTAACAGAGGGCACTTTCTTTACACAGCAAGAGATACAATAATTATGTGGTGAGAAAAAAAGATCATTTTTCAGTATGACAGGATAGCAGCGGAAATTGTGTCCAAGTGCCACTTACCATTGAATCACCTCTCAGGAGAAATCATTACTCATTTCTAGTAAGTTACAAGTGTTTCCTGCCTAAATCATGTGTCCACTCAAGGACCAATTTACTGCAAAGCTGTTCTGTATGAGAGGCGGGAGGGTGTACTTGCCCCATGTGACCTTGAGCAAGGTACTTTGCTCCCCTTGTCCTTCATCCCTCTCATGGATGTAAAGGTGGTCTTCAAATCTAACTCAAAGCCACTTTGTCTTCTAATAAGGCAATACAGTGCAGTGAGAACACCAAGCTATCTTCTGTCTTCTCACCTGAATTTGAAAGTCTTTCCTTTCTTTTCCAAGTTCTCAAGAATCACTGTTGTTAAGATGAATGCATATTCATAAAACCATATTAAACCATATTCATAAAAAGATGTAACATGTGGACATTTTGTGGTCTGTCTTTTCACTTCTGCTTTTGCAAAGGAAGATATCCTCTCATTCTGACACTGCTTTCTTAGTAGTACTGGAAACATGAACTTGTCTGTGTTGTGGCTTTCAGTCCTTATTACAAGACCAGTAGGGAGTGCAATGATACCAATTTTAATACAAAGACACTAAGGTTGAACAACTTGTCCAAAATCACACCCATAATAAGCACGTGAGGCAGAATCAAACTCGCACCTTTCCAGTTCCAAAGAAAAGGCTTTAAATTGCCAGTGCTGCACTAGCTCTGCTTTGAGGAGATGAGACGATGGAAGGAACTCATAGAAGACGTCAGAAGTGCACTTTCAGGGCAACAAAGAAGCACCTTGGAAGTTAAAGGCATAAAAATGATTGAGCACTGTAAAACAGCTGAGGATGTATTTATTCATAACTGGAGCTTAAAACACATGTATAACTATAAGCTAATTAAATATTTATACATCCATTTTTTTCAGTGGATCTTCCAATTGCCTTTTGTTTCACCAATTTTTTTTTCATTTTTCCTCCCTTCTTGGGAGACTCGTGTCCGTACCCTCTGAAGTCCTGGGACTGACAGATGACATAAGGGATCCTATTTGAATTTTGCATAGTTTATATGACATTTGGGAGGGGATGAGTTACAAAGAGACAGCTTCTCATAACCCCTGCACCATTCCAGCCCTGTGCTGCACCTCATGGGATGCCTCACCATTCCCCAGTCACTCCCAGGGTTCCAACATGGCCATGCGACCTCTCCATTTGCTCACTCTCCATATCACAGAGGGCTCCACCCCTCCTCCCAGGGTGCTCCTCATCTTGCCCCTGGCTGGCTTTCTCTTTTCGGGGGAATGAGTGATTTTCAGGCTACATTTCACCCTTTTCCTCCAGCTCTTAACAAACTTTTCGCCATTTCTTCTGCAAATTTCCCTGAGCCTTGGAGGGGGTGGCAGATGCAAGGTGGTCTCTTTTGTATCATGGTGAGATATTGATTTTGGGGGCCTCCCCATCATACATCTTCAAGAAGTGGCTGCTGATCTATCTCAGTGGTGTTTCCCTTACTATAAAGACGAATGGCAGGAAGTAGACACATATAAACAAACACAGATGTAAATACAAATGTCTAGAAGATATCCTAGTAGGTGTACCATATTCATTAAACAGTATACTTGTAACAGCTTCCCTGCTGGGGCCTGTAGCCTTCCTTGACATAGGGGGTTGGCCTAGTCTATAGCACCAGATGTGTGTTATACTCCTGAGTGGGCCTTATCCAATTATAAATTTGTCAGTTGTATGTATGTTAGTCAAGCCATTATTGCACTAGCAGGCATTGCTTGGCATGTTCATAGTGTGCAACATGCAGGGTCCATTGCTGAGCAGGATCATAAGGGTTACTTTTTCCTCAACTGCATAGCACCTTCTGGCACTGTGAAAGCCATCCATCAAGTAGCATGGAGTTTTTTGTTTCTCCATTTCTTCTTCTCCCATGCTCACATCATGTAGTGTCTTCAACAACATGGCCTTACCGACCTTTCTAGTGTACAACTGACATTAGTGGCAATAGCCTTAGTTAATTTAAGGACCTCTAGGATCTCTCTCTGACCAACAGCTCATAGAGGACCAACCAACCCCAGTACTGTAGTTTTTCTTAACAGTTGTATAATTTTGGGAACCTCTGTTTTTGTCTTACCCAACCATAAAACTCCCAAGAATCTTACAGCTATAGCTGGCCTTTGTTTCTTCAGGTATCTTTCAAATGGGTTTCACATCTATAAAACACTCAAAGGTTAACATCATATATTAAAACAATCATAGACAAGGTCTAACACAGCGTGGAAAGGTTTTATCCATTCATAGATCTTTGTTAGGTACCATAGCATGGGTAAGAGGCATTAATTTGGTTAGTTCTTTACTATCTTTAATTATTCCTTTGGAGTCATTCTGCATTATGGATATCTTACATGGAGTCTCTTTGTATTCTTTTATCTTTGATACACTTACAGATGTTGGCTACAGTTGCCTGACTCTGCACCTAGCTAAGGGGGCAGAGGGTTTCTCTTGTCCCTGCTGCACCTGTTAGTTCCCTGAGTCAGGAAGGCCCTGGGTCCACCTCCTGGCAGGAGCCATATCTGTTATCTCTCCATTGACCATACCTGGCTGCTGGAGGAGGCCCTGGTAGGAAAAACTGCCTCCACCCCTAGCATAGCCTTTTTCAGGAGAGAAATACACCTTATTTAATCTTTGGGGATCCTTAACCACATCTGGGACCGTTTTATCCTCTGAATGTCTTTTGTAAACTGATCTTTAGGTTTTAAAGCCTTCCAGAAACTCCTTAGTACAGAATTTTATTTTCTATCAATTTTTCCTTTGGGAATTTAGGCTCAGCATAAGTCTTGCCACATTTGTCTTCGAATAACTCAAATGGACCATTTCTTCTGTCTGGTCTTTTTTATATCTCTTGTAGGGTGTTCTGTTATTCTGCAGACACATTTTACATGCTGGTCAGGGTCACTTAGATCTGCTAAAGCTTCTCTCACTTTATGAAAATCCTGTCCCATTAAAAGACTTAGCAAAATCATTAAAGCTCTATACCATACTCAAGGTCCCAGTTGAATTAAGTTTTCCTTTATATCTCCGGTGAACATAGTCCTATCTGTCCCGGCAAACTGGGCATCATATATTTTTCTTTTCATACCTAGTTCTCTCAGTAATGCCTGTCCCTCCTTTATAGTCCTCCAGCCCCTGTTAATTATGGGAGTTTCCCTTGGTGATTACTATGTATCTTTAATGCCTTGCACCAGCCATCCCATTAGGGACTGCTCCCTTCTGCATTGGCCTAGGTTGAATAGCCTTTGTCAAAAGAACAGATGGATGGTTATATAACTCAAGCTGTGAAGCTCCTGAAGGACTTAGACTGCCATTATTTACTCCCACGTCCCATACCCTCATGAGCCACGTGGTGAGGTGCTCTTTGATTGCTTTCTGGTAAGTCTTTCCCAGTTTCAACAGCTCCAGTGTGGACTATTTTCCCCTGGCCATAGTCCTGTTAACTTTTTTCTCTTTTTGTATCAGAGGTTGAGTCTGAGGGGCAGTTTTAGCTACTTTTATTTTTAGGTTGTTTCTTCTTTCATTACTGTTTTTTTCCCTGGGTCCTTGGACCTCTGGTCCCCTAGCCTTACACAAGTTAAAATTGCCCATGTTTCCTCTCTCTTAAGCTCTGAGGCTGAGAACTCCTTAGCCTTTTCAGCATCCTGTGCCTTGGGCAAATCTTTTATTATGCAAAGTAGTGGTCATGCCCCCTCTCTGTTTCCTCTTTTGCTTATATGATTTTTTTCAAGGCTCTCTATAATCTTTAATGAATTTTCAGATCCATGTGGGGGCAGACTCCATTTTTTTTAGTGACTGAACTATTTCCCCACATTTATAGCACAGCTGTGGCCCAGGAATTTTTCCCATTGAGTCCATCTGTGTGTGCATGGATCACATCATTCTAATTACGTATTTCATGATCAATTGTATAATAAACATGAGCATAGCTAACCCGCTTAAGTATACCAGGTTTGGCCACTCTCTCCCCTGGGTTTCTGCCAGCTTCTCCCAGATGGGCCATGTTACCTCACAGGACTCCTCGCAGTGCCCCTCTTCGCCCTTCTGGATTTGGGAATCTGAACCCAGCTCCCTTTCAATTGGCTCACCAGACACTGCTGGAACCATGGCAGATTCCCAACCCTGCATCTCCATGTTTTTCCCAGACTCCTGCAGTTCGTCTACCCAGCCACTCTATGCCAATTGTTTTGCCAATTTTTTTCCTTTTTCCTCCTTTCTTGTACCCGCTGAAGCCCCAGGCATAAGGCATCCTGTTTGAATTCTACATCATTTATATGACATTTGGGAGGGGATGACTTACAAAGAAATGGTTTCTCATAACCCCCACGCTGTTCAAGCCTTGTGGGACACCCTGCTGTTCTCCCACCTCTCCCAGAGTTCCAATATGGCTGTGCTAACTCCCCATTTGCTCACTCTCCATTTCATAGTGGGCTCCACCCCTCTTCCCAGGGTGCTCCTGGTCTTGCTCCTGGCTGGCTTCCTCTTTTTGGAGGAATGAATAATTTTGGGACTACACCTTCTAAGAACCATGTACAGAGCTAAGTAAGATCCATGCCTACTGGTGATTCCAACTACTGACAAAGGATTCTTCTCTTTAAACAGTGTTTATCTGGTAGTTTCAACATTTTTAAACCCATGTCTCCACTGTAGCCAACTTCATCTTTTTCCCTTTAAAACAATCCCATTTTTAAAGATTCAGATTTTGATAAAAAATTAATATCTGAGTTGTTAATAACTTTCTTTCCCAAAGGAATTAACAGATGATACTTCCTATCAAATCAGTTATTATGGATGGGCATCCTCTCTCCTCATACTGCAAAACTCCAGTATTCCCCTGTCTCCCACTCACAGGGGTCTTTGTGGATGATTCAGAATAATACCCATCTTGATATCTTTCATTGGATCATATCTTCAATGTTCCTTTTGCTATGTGATATAATATATACTCACAGATTCCAGGAATTGAGGCATGGACAGAATTAGGGACATATTATTCTGCTTATCACAGCATTAAAGGAATCAGTGTAAATAAGGCACTTATAAGAATGCCTGATGCAGGGCTGGAGAGATGGCTCAGTGGTTAAGAACACTGGCTGTCCTTGTAGAAGACCCAGCTTTGAATTCCAGCACCCACATGGCAGCTAACAACTGTCCATAACTCCAGTTCCAGGGGATCTGACAGCCTCTCTGTCCTCCACGGGCATTGCACGACATGGGTGCACTTACCTACATGCAAGCAATACACGAATACACATAAAATAAAAATAATAATATATTTTTTTAAAAAAGAATGCCTGATGCATACTTAGTTCTCAGCAGATACCAATTATCCAATTTAAAATGGGAGATCAAAATTTGTATTTTTCTCCCTGTGACTGAAAAATAAAATTTAATAATTTATTTCTCAAAAATCTGCAATTAGATCACCTGAAAAGAAAGGTCAACATCCACAATACATAAAAATTTAAAGTGGTGGCCAAGGGGCCAGTGAGATGGCTCAGTAGGTAAAACTGCTTGCCCTGCAAGACTGATCATCTGAGCTTGATTCCCAAGACCCAAGATGGGAGCAGAGAACTGACTTCTGAGAGTTGTCCTCTGTCCTCCACACATATGCCATGACACAAGTATGGCTGCATGTGTGCACACATGTGCATGCACACACACACACACACACACACACACACACACATACATAAATGGAGGTTGGAGAAGTAGCTCAGTCAGTAAAGTACCTACAGAAAGCATGAGGACCTGAATTTGATCTTAACATCTGTATACAGTTTGGTATGATGGCCCTTGCTCATAATCAAAGTGCTGGGAAGGCAAATACAGGAGGATCCTTGTGCTCACTGGCCTCCTAGTCTAGCTGGATTAGTGTGCCACAGCTACCAGTGAGAGACCTTGTGCTGTCAAATAAGGTGGATGTTTCCTGAGGAATGACACCTATGGTTGACCTCTGGCCTTCACACATGCACACACTCATGCAAGTGCACCTGAATACATATTTATTATCACACATACCTGCACACACACACATGCTCACAACATTAAAATGATGCCACTTGACCATAACTGTTGTGTGACTCGTTAGAAAGCATTCACTTTTCCTTAGGTAGTTCTTTTGTATGTATCATTTGAATTGCTTAAACCCTTTCCTCATCTTAAAGTTGACGTAATACACTTTCTATCTCACAGATTGTGGTAAGGATCAAATGAGGTAAAAGTAATGGAATAATGTAAAACATTTTTATAGAAACATGGCTATACAAGTTTAAGGTAATATTACTACACAGAAAATAGAAAGGACTCACTCAGGATCATACAACAGAATTACACAGAAGTTCAATTCAAACCCATGACTCTGTGAACACAGTGACCTAAGAGACGATGCTTCATGAATATGCCTGGCAGTATGCCTAATTGGCCCAATTCAGAATTGAGAAATCTAAAGTGCATTTCCTACTCCATCAGCGGCTTTCTTGGCAAGCTTGAATATAATTTACCTTATTTCAGTGTTAAAAAGCAGACTGAGGGCTGGGAACATAGCTTAGTGGTAGAGAGTGTTTGCTTAGTAAGTTCAATCCCAGGAACCAAATAAACATCAACAAAGACAAACAAACAAACAAAAATAATAATAAAAATTAAAATTAAAAGCAAAGCACTCAAAACTCAACAAAACAAAGCAACAGAAACCCTTATCTTTGGGGTTGGAAAAATGGCTTAGAGATTAAGAGCACTTGTTGCTCTTCCAGAGGTCCTAAATTCTGTTCCCAGCACCCCCATCAGGCAGCTCACAACCACCTGTAACTCTAGTTCCTGGGGATCCAATACCCTCTTCTGGCCTCATAGGCACATGCGTGCATATGATCCACAAATATACACACAGGCCCACATACATACACATAAAATAAAGTACAATAAATAAATCTTTTAAAAGGTATACTAAGAGTTTATATTTTGATAATCTGGGTTCTTTTTTAATACAAATATTAAATTTTTTTTAAGAAAAATATTTATTTTTATTTTCCAACCCCAAGATAAGGGTTTCTGTTGTTTTGTTTTGTTGGGTTTTGTGTGCTTTGCTTTTATTTGTTTTTTGTTTGTTTTTGTTCTTGTTTTGGGTTTGTTTGGGTTTTTTTGGTTTTTTTTTTTGGTCTTTTTGAGTCAGGGTCTCCCTGTAGCTCCAGCTGTCCTAGAACTCACTATGTAGACCAGACTGGCCTTGAAGTCACAGAGATCTGCCTGCCTCTGCCTCCTGAGTGCTGGGATTAAAGGCATGCACCACCATGCCAGGCTTGTTTTTGTTTGTCTTTGTTGATGTTTGTTCATTTAAGAAAAATATTATTATTCTTTAATATGTATGCACGTATTGCCTGCATATATGTAAGTGCACCCATGTCGTGCAATGTCCATGGAGGACAGAAGAGGCCATAGGATCCCCTAGAACTGGAGTTTCAGACAATTGTTAGCTGCCATATGGTTGCTAGAATTTGAACCTGGGTCTTCTGCAAGAACAGTCAGTGTTCTTAACCACTGAGCCATCTCTACAGCCCCAGTCTGTGTTCTTAAACTGCAGAAGTTGATAGAACACAAGTTTGTCTCATTGTCAAAATTTTCCTTTAAGTTGCTGGTTAAACACTGTGCCTGAGTAATAGTGTAAGAGGAAAAGACCCCTAACGTTAGTAGACAACTGAAATATACTGGCAATAGTGGACTATAAACTGTTTTCTTTCTGTCAGTTTTTTTTATGTGATTGTTTTACAGAAGCCACTCTTATTGGAGAAAAATAACAATTTCTATTTAAGAAAAAAAGAATGCCTGAACGCACCTCAACCAACTTGGTTCAATAACATACATTAATCTAACCAATCACATTATTCTGGCTTATATACACTTTAAAATGTCCTCTTTAATAGTGTGATGGACTCAGAAACCTAAACAAAGAAAGATCAGGGTAGTTTCTTCTCAGAAAAGAATCAAGACTTACATTTGTCACTGACCCTTATGTTATAAAACCTGAGCTCATTTTTCACTCAAAATGGTTTTTTAATCATGCAGTTCCGTGGGTGAAAACAGAAAGCTAACCTGAGTGCCTAAGAACCTAAAAAATCTGCTACAAGAAAATAAACTTCAAAAAAATTATTAATGGAAGGACTTTGGAGTGCTCCGTCCTGAATGGGACATTTATATAACATAAATAAAATAAATAATTTCTCTTCCTCCCTCCCTTCCTTTTTTTCTTTTTTGAGTTTGAAGTAACTATGGGCTATAGGAGATTCTGTCTCAAAAAAAGGAAGGGAGGGATTCGAAGGAAGAGAAAGCCGTCATTTATTTTAAATATTTATCTGTTACAGATTCTATCATAACTGAATAGCTGAAATGCCTTTATTCTCAAAGTTGAAGATGAAACAAAGATTTGATGGTCTGGACCTAAGTGTTTTTGAACTTTATTTGGCTGACAAATAATTTTCTCAGTCTTATTTCTAAAGAACTTTTTTAACAGACTTAATTCACTTTATTTTTCTCATATAAAAACCCTAGGTAATAGCCACAGCTGGACCCTGGGTTCTCTGCACAGAGACTCTGGTGTGGGTTTTCACAAGATGATCCGTGAATTCCTGATAGGGAGACTTAGGGAAGACTGTCTCTTTCCAGAGGTCAGGGGTCAGATAGCTGCAGGTCTTAGAGATGGCATCAAAGGTGGCCTTGGCAAAGTTGCCCAGGGTGGCAGTGCAGCCCCTGGCTGATGTGTAGCAGTCATTAATACCCGATATCACCAGTAGCTTCTTAGGCACAGGAGCAGAGACAATGCCAGTGCCTCTGAGGGCAGGGATGAGGCACACCAGCACAGAGCCACAACGGCCTGTCACTTTGCAGGGGACGGTATGGGGCTTGCCAATCTTGTTTCCCCAGAAGCCTCTCCCAACAGGGACAATGGAAAGCTTGGCCAAGATGATGGCCCCTTGAATTGCAGTGGCTGCCTCCTTGGAGCACTTACCCAGCCCAACATGACAGTTGTAGTCCCCAATGGCAGAAAAGCCTTGAACCTGGTCTGCTGGCCAGTCCCAGTCTGCTTCTGCACTGGCATGATCTTCAAAACCTCATCCTTAAGAGGTGCTCCCAGGAAAAAGACAATAATTTCGGATTCCTTCATGGGAAGGGAGAAGAGGTAGATCTCCTCCAGGTACTTGGTCTTCAGGTCCTTGACCAGACGGCCCAGCTTGGTGACTGGAATCCAGTCCTTATCTTCAGCTTTGCCTCCAGGAGCCCCATGGCCCCGACCTCAACCACAACCACCATCCTGGTAGACCGGCCTGGTAGACCGGTACCAAATCCTCCACGGAAGCGGCCCCGGCCTCCCAAGCCTGGGCCTCCAGGTCCTCCCGGCCGTCCGGCTGCACCAGTGTCATCGGCCATTTGGTGTTTCCCGAGGAAGAAGTCTAAAGAACTTTTAAGATGACAGAGATTGATATTTTTCTCTTGGCTGCTCCATGAAAAGGTATAGTTACAGCTACTTTAGAAATGCCTTTTCGGAGAAGATTCAGTCTCCTAAACGGATACGAACATTCAACAATCAAAAGGTTAACTGTTAGGTTTAAATTGTAACACATTTTTATATTAACGGAAATGCAAGAATTTACATGTAAAAGAATGACAACTGGAACCACATTTGTTTCACTGCATAAATCCTTGTATTCGCATATCACATCAGGAGTTTTTTCTCCGACAAGTTCTCAGCAAATCTCTCAGGAAAATGAATAATGAATAAATACGAATGAATTGAATACAATGAATAAAGATACAGATTCCATTATTAGACTCATCATTATATGATAAACCACTTTTATCATTTTGATCACAATGAGCTCTCATCAATGTGCTTAACATGTGCAATTTAATATTTTTAGAAGTAAAAACTCTCTGAACCAGAATCATTTGTGATCATGTTTACATTTAAAGGCTAAGAATAATGTAGGGTGTGGTTGGCATGCACCTGCAGTCCCCAGCTACTTGGGAGACTAAGACAGGAGGACCACTTAAGGTCAGGAGTTTAGGGCCAGATGGGGCAACATAGGGAGACTCCATTCCAAAAGAAAATTAAGAATTTTTTAAAACTCCACAAAAAAGAATTCTACTAAGAAAAGGGAAATTGAATTCCCTTAGAAATGGCTAGAAAAGATGTTTCATTTGCACAATGAGCTCTTAGTAGCAAGTCATCCTCTGTTTACTACTTGAGGAAAGCACCAAGCACATGGGGCAGGCATGCCTCTCTGTTGTTTGTGTGACAGCTCCAAGCAGCAGGGCTCAGAAGAGTCGACTGAGTTACTCAACCTGGGAAGTTGTGACAGATTGAAAACAGCCTGTGGTCTCTGCTTCCTCTGATGAAAGAAAAGTGGAAAACGTGCCAGTTGTCAAGGACTTGGGGGAAAAGATATTTGGTTTCCTAAGACAATGACTTTCGAAAGTCATTTTATGACTTTCAATATCTTTCTAGTCTCTTTGAAGTGACTGGGATTAAACAAATAATTATTTAAGGGAAATCTTGCCATAGACTTCTCATTTTCTGTTAAGATAGTTTGATTTAATGTGAAAATTTAAGCTAGTATGTGCTGTCAGATTCTCAGTTGTCAAAACTGTTCATGCCAATGAATTAAAGAGAGTAAAGGAAAATGAGTCCCCCCCTTCCCAGTAACTGAAGTTCAATAGAATGAATGCACAGACTTTAATCTGGATTCTTCCACAGAAATAAGGGGGTCAGTGAACTTGAATTTTAAAAGAATAGTTGTGTAACTTGTAAGAAGCTCATCCATGGAGAAAACTTAAGTCTCCCTCTTTCAGCACCAATTAATTGCCTGTAGCTCTTCATACAGTTGGCATGTTAACTGATGGTGTCATTATATGGTTTTTGTTTAGGCAGCCATATTGTTGAGATTCCATGGTTACAGCTTCCCTGTCATGTCTAGAAGACACTCTCACAGCAGGAATCTTGGTCCTCTGACCCTTACAATCTTTCCACCCTCTCTTCCGTGATATTTCCTGAGTCTTAGGGGTTGGGTTGTAGATGTATCATTTGGGACTGGGCACCCAGTCTCTACATTTTGACCAGTTATGGATCTCAGTATTGTTGAAAAAAAATGTTTCTTTGATGAAGGGTGAGAACTACTCTTATCTGTAGGTATAAGTATTTTAGAAACAAACTAGAAATCACATTGGTTTAGGAAAATAGCAATAGTGGGATGTCCTCTAGGGTCTATGACATCTCTTTGGTTTAAGCAGTCATCCCTAAACACATATACATATGAGCAATGCTAGATGGACTCAGCAGGTTGTATATGTACATGTACATATGTTTATATATGTAACAATAATATGTCAGGAATCTCAAAATAAGAGGACAGGAATTTGAGAGGGTGTGGGGAAGGTATGAGAGAAATTAGAAGGAAAGTAGGAATACTGTAAATACCATACTCATGTATGAAATCAAAAAATTAAAAATTTAAATTAAAAAATGGCATATGTGAGATGCTGAGTTCAAAACAAGGAATAGTTTTAAAGAACTTTATCTTTCTAAGCATGATTTTTACATGAAGTTCATGATTTTTCTTTCTGTAAAATAAACCTGAAAGGGAAGTGAAAAAAATAGTTGTTTTTACTAACCTTCACTTAAAACATAATAGTTCCCCCAATTGTAAGTTAAGTGTACATAACAAATAGCAATAGTCCTAGCATCACCTTTGACTTTGCAACCAGTACAAGTACCAAATTAAAGACATTATAGAAATTCAAAATATTCTTTACATTCGTCATTACTCTGAAATTTTGGTAGTGACTTGATCATAAATTTCTCTTTTAACAGCTTTATTAGATGTAACACACATACCATACAGTTCCTTCATTCTAGTTTTAAGATGTTACTTTTACTATTTGTTTTGTTGTTGTTGTTGTTGTTGTTGTTGTTGTTGTTGCTGCTGCTGCTGCTGTTGTTGTTTTTGAAGCAGAATCTTACTCAGACTCACATGGAACTCACACTGTAGCCCAGACTGGCCTCACTTGTTGCTCCTCCTGCCTCAGCCTTTTTAGTGCTGCAATTACAGCATGAGCTACCATACCTGGTAGTATATTAGATTATTATTTTTTAATTGTGGTAAAATGTGCAACATAAACTTTCTTGTTTTAATAGTTTTTAGTTGTACAAATCATGGCATAAATTTCATGTGCAACATTGTTTAACCCCTACCTCCACTTGTTTTCCAAAGTTTCCATAACCTAAACAGACATTCTGTAACCACTGAACAGTAACTTGGTCTGGGGGTAAGAAGTAAAGAACCTCCTCTAGCAGGTATGGAACACTGAGTTCAATCCCCAGTACTGCCATCACCAAAAAAAGAGAGAGAAAAAAGAGAGATGAAGAAATGCCATTCTCTGTCTTCTCCAACCACTGACAACTTCTGAACCACTTTATGTGTCTACAGATTTTCCTTTCTAGACATCTCATATGATGTTTGTATAGATACCTAATAAGATATTTGCCTTTTTCTGTATGACTTACTCTTCATAGCAAACTTTCATGTTCACCTATCTTATAGTTGTGTCAACATGTCATTGTTATGACTGAGCTACGTTCTATTATCTATATATGTTATATTCTGTTTTTCCACCCATATATTGATGGACAGTTTAGTTATTTCCACCTTCAGAGCTATTATGAATAATGTGTCAATATAAGTGTTTAAGTCCCTGTGGTCTTCTTCTTCAGAATGGAATTAGTAGATCTCATTTAAAAGTTCTGTCTTTAAACCTTTTAAGAAACTACTAAACTTTTTCACAACAGCTATAGAAATTTCTTATTTAATATACTGACAATTGTTTTACAGTACAAGTAGATTTGTAAACATAAAACTATGTATTTTCTTTTTAAACATTTAGAAGCATAGTTCTAATAAGTGGGCCATAAACTTACCCAGGCTGCCAAACGCTGCACAGCACAAAAAGTCAAGAACCTCTGCATATTTTCTTCTGTTGAATCTAATACAACAGAATTTAACCGTGTGAAATCCAGGCAGGCATTTACAGTACGGAACTAAAGGGAACTATCATTATAAAATAATGATTTTAAACAATCATACAAATTCAGTTCAGATAAGCTAGGCTAATTACTACAATTACAAATGCCTTCAGAACAAATTTTCTGAGTTTCCAGTGTAAGAAATATCTTTACCCACAAACATAAGTTGAGAAAATATAATATGTGATTCAAAAGATCAGTGTAAGTCAAATATTATAACAGCAAATAAAAGTCACTTAGATGACTGTAGCTTGAAATCCATATAGTTCTCCTATGTTGTTGATCTAATTAACTGGTACTATTAGCCTTTTGAAGAGAGGAGAGAGACAAAAAAACAGGGAATGCTTTAAATTTTGCATCTCAGGGGCAAGGGGTTTATAAGGCCCCACCCCTCACTAAAGATATTTGGCAGTTACCCAGCACCGGGAGATAAACTGCACTTTCCTCGGTGTTGTAACCACTGATAAGTTGCCCCACGTTCCAGTAAATAACCACTTACTCACGTTCATGCAAGCAACCGTAATTAAGCTACGGACAGGAAACATCAAAGTGGGAAGGGGGTTGTTGGGAAGGATTTCAGTGGGATAAAGAAGCGCTGAAAGATGGTAACAGAAAGTAAAAATGCCTAAAGCTCAGTGTGTGCTTCTGTGAAACTGTTAAAGAATAAAAAAATTAATTCCATCTCCTACATATACGTCTAGTCCTTTTAAACATCTCAGAACTCCTTTGTTACAGTTAGCATTATTGTATTATTTATATAGTTTCATTTAAATTTTGTGTTTCTGCTAGGTTGTATTGCTTTATATTGTTTCACTACATAACCAGATTGTCCTCAACTCCAGACGGTCCTCCTGCCTTGGATTTCTGAGTCCTGGGATTACAAGAACGTGCCACCGTGCCCAGCTAAATTTTGTTTCTTAATGAGAAAAATACTTGTTCAAGTGTTTAGAGTCCAAAATAAAATTGTTATCAACATGCAAAGACATTCCTAAGCAGAAGTTGTACTCCAGTTCAGAAGTTACATGGTATTGGTCTGTTGCTGCAGCATCATTCACATAATAAACAGAGAATATTATTTCCTGGGGCTATTTCTACTACCCAGTTAGCTACATACAGTGGACAGACTGGGGTGTATAACCTTTCACAGGATCTTCTGCAGATTGCCAAACTCCCAGTTATAAACAAAAACATCATTCATACATGGCTTAAACACTGATTTGCTTTCTTTTTTTTAATTTTTACAAAAGCTTTACTGAGAATTTCATACATGCATATAAGGTGTTTTGATCAAATCCATGCCCACTCCCTCTCCTCCAACATTCCCCCCTCTGAAGAGGTAACTCTTAAAGTCTTTTAAGGATTAGACACAAGCTCCCAAATGCTTTTGACATTTTTGGCTTGGAACAGAGTTATGTTGCTAAAAGGCCCAAGGACATTTTGACTTTTAGCCAAGAACCTGGCTACATTTCTTTGGGGTCTTTTTACCTTAACTGCCTAGCCAATTCCTACCTCCTA